GTCTTTGAAATTTAGCTTTATTAGTGTGATGTGTGATTCCTTATCTAGGTTTCTTCCTAATCGGTTTCCTTCGAAAGTGGCTACTTCTCTTTTTCAGAAAAGCTCTTGAATTCTTGTCTCCACCAGCAATGGATACTGAAACCAGTATGCGTCTTCCGTCGTCTGCAGCATCTACCACTTCGGTTACTGGCGGAGTTCCGGCTACTTCGGTATTCACGCACTTTCACTCTAATTCTAATTTTCGTTTTATGAGTCTTCTGAATGACAGAACTGTTTTTTAATTTCTATGCGACACATTTTCTCCTTGTTAGGGGGAAAATTTGGGTTTTTTTTCTGTTTTGCAGGGACCTCCGTCGACTATTGCGCCCCCCACTTCAGCAGATATTCAGGTTGCTGCAAGCCGACCTATTGGATATCAAAATGGGACACCAGTTGCAGTCAATCAAAGTTCGAATGGCGAGCCTTTAATGTTCTCTGGGTCTCTGCAGACTGTGTCTGAACTGACTCGAAACCCGTCTAGCGCTTCACCACGTGGAGGAAGAGGTTAATGATTATTTTTGATTACTTTGTTTCATTGTTCAATGGCTCTAATTCACTTAGTTAATTAATTACTTCTTTTTAGGTGGGAGGCGGCGAACAGCCGGGCCATCAAATCGCGCTACAGGCACCACCAGGAAGAAGCAACAGAGACAAGCTCTTGAGAAGGCCCAGGGTTTGTCTAATCAAATGGGGCAAAATATGGCCTCTGCTGGAAACAGTAATAGTTCCTCATTTTGGGGATCGCAACCGGCTCCTCAGAATCCTCCGATGTACATGAATACTCAGCAAGGTTTTTTTTATCTAAGTTTCTTTGAGGCTTAGTGTTTTGTAGTTGTTACTTGATGTTTTAAAACTTTTTAAAGTCAATTTAGTGTACTGGATAAGAAACAAGGCAAATATTTTCTAGCGTATTTTCATCTCCTCTGTTTCACTGGTCCTGACTTGGCATTCAGTTAGCTTTTTGTAGTGAATAAAAAAAGCCGAAAAATTTCTTCTCTCTGTCGGTTGTATACTTCCTTATTTGTCTTTGTAGTTTCAATGACTCAGCCAGAAGACTCGAAGGCGACTATTCAAAGGTTTGTAATGAAACGTCAGGCAGCTCAAGCTTCTGGAAACGCATCCCAAGGTCTGCATTTTAATATTGCAAACCAAGATATCCTCGGGGGGATGGACATTTTCGACATTTTTTTAATTTACAGAAAACATTTTTTCTCATTTTCTTGTTATATCTCATCATCCCCAGTAAAAGCTTTCTTTAAGTTTGAATCTTTTGAGAAGCAATCTTTTTAATGGTTGAAGAGTTGGCTTAATATGTAGCCTTTGTTTTTGTTTAATCTTTTCGTGCGACTCTGTAAATTCGAAATTTTATTTTTATTACCATTTTCTTCTTGTCCGTATGTCTCATTTTCTGAAACTATGGAGATAATAGTAGTTCATTAATTAGCGACCAGCATATTTATTACTATATTTTGTTTTCAGGCTTTGGAAATATGCCATCTGGATCTGGTGGCCAATTCAACCCAATGATGATGAAAATGGAAAGTAACGTAGCACCCATGGATCACCAACCGTCTTATTCGGGGCAAACACAGCAAATGAGTATGGTACAAGGTATGAAGGTCTTACTTTTTCCTTCAAAGTTGTAATCTTCTTAATACTATTTATGATATTATTTTGTAAGTTGTTGTCTTTACCTCTCTGCAGGAGAGGAAATTTTTTTTATTTTTTGCTTTATTTCGAGATTTTTTTGTTTAGAGCCTCAAAGAACTCAGTTTAATTCACAGCAAGATATTTACAATCAACAGCCTCAGCCGAATCCTGGAAATATGTTTGATAACAGGTATTTCGTTCAGCTCTGGTAAAAGGGTGAAGTAACGGTTGATTTTTCCCAGGCATTATAGGATTTGCTTTGCATAATGTAGCTCTTCTTTTTTTACCACGCAAAGAACTAATCCAGATGAGATATTTAGGTCTCAGTTTCTGTCTTTAGTAAAGATTTGTTTTTATCATTCAACTGATTATTTCGTGTTTTTAGTAAGATTTAGCGATTGTTAACTGTTTTCATATCTCGTTTGAAGAACTACACAAATGAAAGTCTAAAAGTTCTCCCAACTTTTCTGATGTCGCATTAGCATCTTTTATGTTTTAGGATGATGGGTCACCAACAGCAGCAGCAGATGCAGTTCAACCAACCTCAGTTTCAGCAGCAATACTAACGGGTTTTTTGCAGCTAGTTAAATTTGATTTCTATTCTCACGTACGGTGTATCTTCTTGTATTTTTATGACTTTCTTTTTTATTTATTATCTTTATTTTTAGAGGGCCTTCAATTTTTTTTTAAAAACTTGACAGATTTTTTCTCTGCCGAATGCAGTAAATTTTTTTAGATATCACAGACATATAGTCTGATTATTTCATCAAACTAAAAACTTGACGTAACTGGGAGTTTAGAGTTCTTCTGTGGCCCTTATTTTTTCATTTACCTCAATGGCTCTTTTATTACTTTATACCACCTGTCATGATTTTAGAGTTAGGTCCTATTGTCTTTCCACGAGCTCGTCTTTGAGCTGTAGTTTCTGTCTTTATCGGGTTCACTTTGAATAAGTTGGTTTCCTTTTTGCTATGTTGATGAATAGTTTGGATGGTCCTCTGCTTTTTGTTTTATGTTGATATATTTTGTAAAAAGAACCTTCAATTGCAAGAACCTTCTTTGGTCTCAGGGTTCTGAATGATGTTGTTTTATTGAAGTAACACAGAAAATTTCGGCAAAAAAATAGATTGTTGTAATATTTCAAAATTTTATTTAGCTCTTATTTTTGTAGTTAAACTGTGCTGTAAAACACTGAACCCTGTTTAAGATCCAGGAAAGGTTATCTTAAGAAATAATTGCTTTTGTTTTATAAATGTCAGTCGAATATGGCTGTTTGTTGTCAACCTTATTACTCTTAAATTTTCTCTCAGAAACCTGTACATTTTCTTTTTCAGGAATTTGGTGCTGTTATGCGTGTTTGTATATAGTTGCTATTTTTCATATTGAAAGCAAACTTATAGAGCATAAGCAATGTGATTTTATTTTGGAGATCTCGTTTTTAAATAAACAGTCTTTTATCTTGTTCTTTGACGGACGTTTTGCTTGATGGTTAGGGATCTTACTCATTTGGAACTTCAGATTGATTAAATATTCATTTCCTGCTTTAAATTGTCTTAAAACGTTTCTCTTGCTCTACAGATGCTGTCAGACCGGAAGCATTTTTTTGGTGATCTCTAAAAACATAAAAGTTGCCTCGATCAAGCACAAAAGATTAACTTTCTTTAATTTCGAGCTGATTTTTTCATACTTTAGAACAAAAGTGGCGTTTGAGCTGAGGTTTGCATGAGTGACCGAAGCTGTACGAAGCAGAAGAAGGTGGACAGTGCGTTTTGCAAGTTTAATTTGAGCGAAAGAGATGGCAAAAAACACCAAATTTTGTAAAATTTAGGAGTACAAAGTAGAACTGTATGTATTTGCTGTTTTTGGTTGCGAAGAAAAAGTTGACCCAATTTATGTGAACCAATGGTTTAATTAATTATTAACGGCGACAACAGAAATAGCAGCGACAACACGTTGATTTACTGCAGAAGAAATAAATATTTGGCAAATGTCAGATCTCGAAAGTTTGTGAAAGTCTGAAAAATGTGTATTTGCGTTTGGTCAGCTGTTCCACAACCGACAGTTGATAATAAAAGCAATGTTGCTGTTAGTTCCCCGAATACGTGCTACATGTATAGCTTTTTTCCTGCTTGATAAGCTCAGGAAAAAAGTTGAAAAATCTATTAATTTTAATTTTGCAATTCTTTCCCTCTGTTGACGAAAGACGTTTAAAAAATGGATATGAAAACGATTACTGGAATTCGAGCAACCAAAAAAAAAGTGTGGTTTTTCAGGCTGTTATGGCAACTGATTTATTAAGGAAATGGGAACTTTTTGAAATTGTGAGGTAAGATAACATGTTTTTCTTCTGTTCAGTCTTTCCGCTCTGCCTTCAACTGTCGCCTTCGCTCTTCCCTTTTCTTTTTCCGTCCTTTCACTGTTTCTAAGTGCGGTGAATCAGAAAACCAGATAAAACAGCAGGGAATAGAATACTTTTTTCGAAAGTAAAAAACAAAATTAAGCGGGAAGAACAAGCTAACAAAGAAATTTTGTTATGCACAACACCAACAACAATATAATTCTGTGAAGTAATACATTATGAACGAAAAATGGAGGTCTGAGGTGCTGGGAAGGAAAAATGTGTGGACACCAAAGTGTGACGGAAGGATATGTGCAGATGCATGCGTGGCAATTTATCTATCTGTCTCTGGACATGTGTGATGCGCATTGTTTTTGTGTATGTGTGTTTTATGTTTGATCTGAGTGTCTGCTTGTTGCTTACTGCTTTTGGTCTTGGGGATCAACTATACTGTCATCTTGGCGATCGACATAGCTAAGACTAACCATAAGCCAGCAATCATCGTCATCGTTTCAGCCATCAGATTCGGGGCACTTAAGGGCATATTATGTATATTGTATTATTTGGTTTATATTATGTTTGATATTATGTTACCATGCGTTGTTTTTATTCCACAAGATAATTCTACTGGACCTAGCAGTATGCAACTAGCAGTGCTCTTTTGCAAAAGCCAATTGGCTGTTAGTTTGGTTTTTTTTTCTGAATTATCAAAACTTGAAATAGTCTTCCTGGACTATTGATAAGGGCATCTGAACTAAATGTAGTTGAATGCAGTTCGGATAGCACTGAGTTGATTTCCATCTCACGAAACTACTTAGCAAAATTTTATTGTTAGGTATCAATGGTGTTTTGTTCACATGGCAAGAGATCGACATCCTTGTGCTTTAAATAAGTAAATAATGATCGTTTGCATTCATCGCCCTCATCGTGTCCATCATCACTATTCGTAACCACATAGCTTTACCATATTGATTTTGTTCACTGAGCGTCTTTTGTTGTTGTTTTTCAATTGGTCACACAATTTTTTTTTTTCGTTTTAACTTTTCGAAACATTTACACTTTTGTTTTATTTTCTATCTCTTGTTTTCTCCATTTTTAAACTACATTAAATGAGTTAGAAACAAACAAAAGAAGAAAAAAAAATAAGCATCAATTTTGCTTTTAAAATCGTAGTTAGTTGTTCAATTTGCCTATCCGCTTAGTAGCTGTTATTGTCGGCGATCATTAAAAGTTCTAGTAAAGGATGTCGGAATTTCAATATAGGTTGAACATTTATATGGAAACAAGAGAAATGAAAAAAAAAAAAAAAAAGAAAAGAAAAATAACAGGCAATG